AAAGGGTGTCATATTCGTAGTCAGGATAGCGAATAACCCCTGTATACAGGTCTTCATCGATTTTGGTGACCGTGGGTACACCGGCGCCGGCACGTGAGGCGCGGGCGCTAGGGGATATCGGGGACTTTCAGGCCAAGAGGGTGTGATGTTCGTTTTTTGAAGGTCGAACTACTTCTGGAAGCAAACTTTCAGCGAAATCTATCCTCGTAGAACAATGTCGGTAAAAAACTGGCCGGATTTTGAGAAATTGGTGTAATAGTAATTGAATAGTGAAGAGAGTACTTCTGCGATATAGAGCCTTGCGAATTCCCAAAATAGTGCAAGTGAAAACCCTCGAAGGACACAACATTACAATCTAACATTACAATCTAAGTACTGCTATTACTTGTTCAGCTAAAAATGACTATTCCCCCGTGTAACACATTGCATCAATCCTACGCTATGCATCAAATAATTCCAGGCTGTAACATTCGATGATGATGATGAAGAGGCAAACAGAAAAGCACCGCTGATATTGACCAGGAAAACTAGCAACGGATCAGTGAAGCGTGGTATCCCACCAAGTCTGAAGCCAGCGGTGGAAGCAAGGTTACGGAGTCCTGAAGAGGAGTGGATCAAGAACTCATTCCTCCATATAAGGTACTTCCTCACAAAAATGAAGTAACTCTTAGTTCTTGTAATCCATCTACAGTAAACTGCCCACGTAGTTTGAGACGGGGGCATAGCAGAAGCGACGGCCCGGCTTGGAAGAATGCGCGTTCTCCCGAAACTAACTCGCTACCAGAACTAATCTCCCGGGTCAAATCGCCAATTCTCCTACTTTCTCAAGACGCCAGATCGACACCCATCCTTTCCTTCGGCGCGCACTCTTCTATTAGGTTGTCCGGAAAGTTCTGCAGGTTTTGAGTGTTTAACTTTAAACGATCATAACTTTCTTAACACTCATCGGATTTAATCCAAATAAGCACCATTCGAATCAGCACACTTTTGCCAATGTGACAGCAGTCGAGAAATCCCATCAAAGAAAAAACTGGGTGGTCGAGAATCCACGAAGGCTTTTTTGCCTGGTCCTGATTGATGAAGTATTTTCCAGCAAGGAAGTTCTGAAAATGTTTGAAAAGGTGATAGTCGGTTGGTGAAGGTCTGGAGAATATGGTGGGTGAGGTAGAA